AGTTCTTGGTGGTGTTTCTGCTGTAAGGTATAATGATTAATGATATTAATATGAATCAATATTAAGAAAAAAATTAAATGATAATAATTTATTTAATTACTAAATATTATAGGTCAAAAATCTTAACAACTTTAGCAGCAACCTTTAATCCATATATTAAAGAAGCAGTACTTCATTATATTACGGATGATATGAGAAATCGCTTAGATTTAGCTTTAGGTTGGTTGTACGAGGAATATGCCTTATTGCAAGGTTTTCAAAGACGAACAACCTTAAGTACAAAGCCACAAGAAGCTCCACACCAAGCCTACAATTTCTTGTTATGTACTTTAGTTTCTGCAATAGATTTGGTTCAAGGCAAGGATCGTGATACTTTATTGTATAGGTAATAGTCTTTACTTATCATATGCTAATTTTATTATATGTAATACTATATTTTTATATTAAAATCAAATATAATCATGTATTTTTCTATAGATTGTATTTAGAGGCACCTTTAATTACGGAAGATGCAGTAGAGGCTTTGAAAATGGTTTCATCAGACGAAACAAAAGGCCTTGCACCATTGCAACTTTTAAAAGAAATGGTTATCAGAAGACCTACTAAACAATTAGTTTTTTTGAATGTCCTCTTATGTCATACAGGACATGAAAACAATGCGGTATATTATTTTCGTGATTATATTACTATAAAATATACAATTACTAGCTGATTTATTTCTTGAAATTATATTACGTAATTTTATTTTTTGTTTTAACAGATAAGAGAAGCAGCAATACAGTTGGTTTGTCAATTATATGCCCGACCTGAATTAAGCAAACTTATAGAAGAATATGCAGTTCTTTATTTAGGCTTTTTACGTTTGCAAACTCCTCCTGAAATAGTTTTTGGTCAAGATAGAGGAAGACCTCAAACAGAAAATCAATGGACAGAATCTACTACCAGAGCTTGTTTAGGACTATATCTGGCTTTATTAAGCGAACATCAAGATCTTATTCATGAGTTAGTATTCGTTCATATGAGTTCTCTTAAATATTTCCTCCAAAATCAAAATAAAATATGTACTATTTCTTCTATTAGATTAGCAAGAGTGTACACATCAATGGGAGCAGATGTAAAACGCATGGTTCTCAGATTAGTTGAAGGACCTGTAAGGTCATTAGGAATGGGTAGTCCACAATTACTTGCACTTGTTGAAAATTGTCCGAAAGGAGCAGAAACTTTGGTCACTAGAATTATACATATTCTTACAGAAAAATGTAAGTGAATTGAAAGTTTGATTTATACAATATGGTTTATAACATTTATATTCTCCTGATTTATAACTGTAATATATTATTTTATATGTAGCTATACCAAGCGCAGAATTAGTAGCAAAAGTAAGAGAATTATATCAGACAAGAGTATCAGATGTAAGATTTCTTATACCTGTTTTAAATGGTTTGACCAAAAAAGAAGTTATTGCTGCTCTTCCTAAATTAATAAAATTAAACCCTATTGTCGTTAAAGAGGTAAATATATTTTTCTCAAAGTTAATTAATAAATAATTTTGAGTCAATGCTACAATATCAAATGTATACAATTTATCTGTATTTGATAGGTATTTAATAGACTTCTAGGCACACATAACAACGATAGTGGTGTGCTACATACATCTCCGATTACGCCTGCAGAATTATTGATAGCTTTGCACAATATCGATCCTAGCAAAGCAGAACTGAAGACTATAATAAAAGGTATATTATTTTATGAATTCATTATATTAATTAGAATAATATTTATATATAATCAGGTTTTTATTGCACAACTTACAAAGTTTTTTACAATGTCTTATCATTATATCACATATAATTATCTCACATTTTTGGCTTGCTCTTAACACACCTCTCGTCTACCTCTAATTATCACYACTCTTAAAATTATACTATCCAAAAATTATAACTACCCAAATCTCACTTGAGTTCGTCTTCGCCTTCCCTCCCATCCTCCTCCGCCCTCCTCCTTTTACATAGCTCCTCTACTTCTCTGAAAAATTCACACATCCCAACCTGAATCTTACCTCCTAACATGTTTATTACTTCCCCTCTTATAGCACCTTCCTCTACTCCAACCATCCACTCCTCTACTTCCTTCCTTCTCTTCTCGGAAATCAATTCCCTTCCTCTATCACAGATTATCAAATGCTCCAACGTCTCTACATACTCTCTGCATAACCTACATTTCC